GACACGCAATAACTAATGACTGAAATGAAGATGAAGATCGGGACACATACTATGAATACTTTTAGCTCGGTTGTTGTCGGCCTTCGTCCAGACATGAGCCATACTAATTTTCGTGCTTGTCGATTTAATATTTTGCTTCTAGCGAAATAATATTCAGATTAGGGAAAATGTTAAAAATTATTCTTCCCTCGATCTAGCACAGTAGGCCACCAAATCTCGGTCATTTGCCAGTCTTGAGTGAATAGTAAGCAAATCAAAAGGCAACTCACTCGTCAGGTTTGAAAATATTTACAGCCAGGTCATCAGGTGCGTGAGCTCGCATGTCCATTGACCTGGGAAAAATAAAGAGTTGACATTAATAAATGTGTAAAAAACTAAGAATCCTAGATGCGAGGTCATCAAATAAAAGATAAGTGACCCTTGGGCTCAGACTATGAGAGATGCTGGATTTTGGGCATTATCTTGAAGGCTAAATAAACCAACAAGTAATCCAGACCAACATCACAGGGGAACTTAGATATGAAGGCCAAGGTGTTGTGCTTGGTCACGGTCTCCTTTAGCTATAGTGCTGGCTTGACCTCGTTTTCTTAGCTTGGTCGGAGCATCAGGGAGACATTGTGGGATGTACATGGCCCTGTGTCCTTCGCAACAGTATCCATGATTTGCAGCATCGCCAGTAAGGGGCGCCATCGTTAGCAGAGTTGCAATTTACCCAAGTCACAAGTGAAGGACAAAAAAAGGGATGAGGAATAGTCACAACGGCTGAACAGAGAATAGCCTTCACTTGTCACTGATAAATTGCAACTGTGCTGACGATGGCGCCTCAGTGACGATGTCAGCGAAACTTAAAAATGCACCAAGTCCGATACTGGAAATCATGAACACCATGGAAGAGGACGCAGGACTAGGTACGTTTTACAAGGGCCCCTGATACCCCGACCGAGCTGCGAAAGCGAGGTCAAACTAGCACAGAGGAACTTGGCACTATTTAATTTGTAGTGGGTGCACTGATATGCTTTATATGTATAGAAAAATTTGATAATGACCTACAATCGTTCTTTAAAGCCGGGCAGGTTGGCGTTGCCTCCAACGAGAAGAATATTCGCCCATGCACCAGGCCATACAGGAGCCGGGAGACGCTCATTGATTAGGTAAGAGAGTGCTTCAGTTAGGCCCATTTGAGTCAATCCCACGTCACCAGGGTGAAAAATTAGTTCAGGTACGATGAAACGTTCAATGTTCATTCGTAGAACATAGCCAGATGTAGCAGTTGGGGCCTTAAGGTCTGAAAAAAGCTTGGCTTAGAAACTAAACAATAAGATTTGATTTCAACACTACCGACTAATGTACAAGAATTTACCATACTTAAGCTGGAGACTGGAGAAAATAAATTGGCCAATAGGCATGCTAAAAAATAATAAAACTGAACCACCAAAGAAGACAAATTTTTCACATAGTTTTAGAAATAGGCAATCCAGATAAAAAGAGAGCCTTAAATAAAGACGAGCCAAATATAAAATATAAAAAACATGGTAGCCTTTCACCTAATTATTTAAATATCAGAATGGAAAGCGGCTGTGGGGGTGTGAACCATGCTGTAGTACGAGTCAAGCAAGCGTGTATGGAGCAAGGTTGTTGAACTGGTTAAATAAGGCAACCGAGAAAAGATACTTTCAGAAAAACTAACAGAATTCGTTAGTGTAGAGCCTCATTTCAAAATTCGATAACACCTGAACGAATAGGAGCGTGCATATTTACGTCCATCATTCATATTTTGCTAACCAGTAGTCTGTGTCGTCATCATGATCGGATGATATTTATAGCTTCGATTCATCATCCTTTGTGGCATTATTTATAAACGGATCGAGGTTACCAGAGAAAGGAATAACGTGAAGAATAATTTGTTCATCGATCCCCCCAAAATAGACTGAATATTCGCAGGAAAATAATTTTATCAGCAAAATAGTGGCAGGTTATGAACCAGTAATAGTAAAATTGAGATAATACTTGTAGTTTGGGTAATACTTAAGACCAAAGGCTGAGTGCGAAAGACGAACTCGAGATTCACAGGAAGCCGTAATATAAATATTCATCAGTGATCGCAATATTCTAGGGGCCAAATTGTAACAATACCCAAATATAGGATGGATTTTTCAGTGAAAGCAAAAAGGTACTTAATGATTGATGATCCAGAGGACAATAATGTATTCGTGATCCCGTATAATACTTTCTAACCCTTGTCAGGTTTTAGCACGAAAAAAGTGCGATATGTGTATAAATTAAGATTTACATGTCTGAAAACTGGACTTTTGAGGAACTTTTAGGACCTCGCTTCATAGCCTGCGAAAATTTATTTTGAGTAGTTCACAGGTTAGTACAATCTGAAACCGAAGGAAAAAAGACTTGGAAACGCTACTGTATTTCCATTAATAATCGATTTAAGAGTAGCCTTCTGTGGATCTACATTCTGCGATCCATATCAGGAAGTAGGTCGTCATGCGATATCCCATGCTTAATAAAAATCTAATTGAGATATGGTCGAACGGCAGCAATCACCAATCATGTTGTAATCCTGATTTACATTATATTTAGAGTTGTCTACTTTCTATATATCTGTAAAGGCGATTGTTAATGTGCTCAATTGACGCGTGTCTACTCAGCGGCGAAATGTAACTTGGCATCCTCATATTTGGTAATACAAAGGTAATTAAAAGAAATTTTCGGGCTTAAGCGCCTAACTATACGATGATTTTTCAGTTATGCTTGCTAGGACACGACCAAGCTTCAAGCAAATCAGGCCACCTGCTCAATGACTATACTTCGCCTGGAATCCAAAAAATCCTAATACAAAAGAAATTCATTCCACCACTTATCTTCTGTTCTTGATTTTCTATGCGCTTAGATTGGGCCATAAACATACCAAAGCCATTTCGTTCCAACAATTCAGCATTAATGAGTCGGAAAGTCTCTACACCATGCTTGTTGTCCATAGAACACAATTTTGCAACAAGCAGATCCGAAAAGTTACAATATTGTTTCCTTAAAACCAGTTACCAAGTGTTGTTCTCTCATCATAATGCATATTTTTTTGAAAAAACAAATGCTGATGTTAAAATGCCTTGGGGC